TGGATAGCTGGCCAATCACAGCTCACCTCGCTTTTTCAGACCGATGAGCTTTGTAAAAATCGACGCGTTTCAGAAAGGCGGGGCATAGAGGAGAAACAATAATGTACAGTATGTGGAAAATAATGTGTTTTTTGAACCTTAAACCGCATAAACACATTTCATTACACCAAATACACAAAATAATGTTCTTTTTAGCAACATCATATGACCCCTTACACTACACTACAAGTGCACATTCAATACAATTAAGCACATTTCTGTGCTTCTTATTAAAGCGTGTTTCTCCTCCTCCTCAGTTGAAACAGTGAAAATTGAACTCATTCAGTTGATTCCACCAGGTACAACTGATATTATTTCTCAGATATTACTAAATGATTCATGTTGCAGATCGAAGATAATGTTATTCCCTTTTACAGCCGGAGAAATACTGGCCAGTTTTGAAGAAGATGCTCGAAGTTTTCTTTTCCCAGAACCGAAGCTGGCCCCATCTTTCTCTGGAGTAGAGAGAGCCGTATTAATGACACGGCATCCCACTTTTCCTGTAAGTGCTTATTTATGTATGACACTCATTTATTTGCTTAACAACAACAATAATGATTTTGTTTTTTGCATTATTAAAATTGGGAAAAAAAAGGTCTTTATATTCACTGATTAATTTCAGGGAATCTCGCCAAGATTAGAGTTCTCCACAAAGACAACCTTCAGTGAAATCTCCAGTGATAATGACTTCCTGACTGTTCCTGTGGTAAAGATAACGATTCTGAATATAGATGTTTGGCTTGATTGCTTTTGAAGTTTTGTAAGATGCTTTATTATTATCTTTAGAGGGCAATGATGAGAAAAACCTCCAAAAAGTCACAGAAACAGGGCAGCACCTCATCCCACCAAAGACATCTCTCTTTTGCTCCATGCAGTCAAAGAGAATATCACGACAGAGATCAGGTATCAGATCTTCCCCCTTTTTTTTTTGACAGACAGGACAGCAGTATATACTTGCATATATGCCCTTGTGAAAAAGAAGTACGCTTTAGCATACTTTTAAAAAGAGTAAATAATATATTTTAAAATAGCATACTTAAGTCTGAGCTAAATGCAATGTTCTCAGACAGTTAATTGCATGTTATTTGCAAATAAATGAAAATGTCTTATAATTAAAATATATATCAAATGCATTTATTTGAATTTAAGTGTTTTTGACCCACTTAAGTGGGATTTATGTACATCTTTATATGTAGTTTCATTATTACTTCTATTGTCTTTGAGATATGGTTCAAATGTACTGCTGAATGTATTGACAAGTATTTATGGTAAACTTAAAATATACCTGATTGTCATTTCTGTTGAAACTTGTCATATATTTGTTATCACAAAGTTGCAATTTAGTACATTTAAAATGTATTCAATTTTAATTTAATATATTGAATAGCACACTACAGTTCAGTTCTAATGAAGTACTTTACATGTGCTTTAGTATGTTAGTCAACACATCAAAGTAAGTGTACTTCTTTAAAGCACGACAAAAGATTATTAAAACATAGTGAAAAAAACAGTCATCAATGTGTCTCTCTTTAAGTACACTTAAGTGGTATTTTAATTCATTAATATTACAATATCTGCAAGTAAAGTTTTTTTTTTAAAATATACTTTTTTTAAGATTTGAAGTACACTACATTAAAGTGCACATTAAAGATCCTGGTTGGTAGTTGTGTTTGTTGATGAATTAGTGATGGCCAGCAGAGGGCACAAAATCTTATTGTAGGATGAAGTTCATAAGACACTTTGATTCCAGTTCCTGAAAGTCTGTGTGTGTGCTTGACCCACTGTTGGTTCAGAGGTCACGTGGACGGTCCTCTTCCCATTATTCACCCGTCTCTGCCAGAAACTCCAGATTAAGGAGTCTGTCACCGCACCAATCAAAACAATCAGGAGAATCAAGTATGAACACTGTAACACTCTTTATGTAATTTGTCATATTGGTCCATGCTGTAGATCTTTATAAGATTTACACAAGTTCTCTGAAAGTTTAGTGATGTGTGAGAGGACATATTTCGTTTAACCAACCAAATGTTAATTGGTAAACTAAACGTATACTATTTACTTTTTTTTTTTTCTTCAGGAGACCCAAGAAGAAGCTATTCCAGACCTTGGGTTAGTTGTAGCTATATATTCTTATTTGTCCCTCTCTATATTATTACACCATTAAAGGGGTCATATGATGCGATTTCAAGTTTTCCTTTCTCTGGAGTGTTACAAGCTCTTGGTGCATAAAGAAGATCTGTATATTGATCTGTAAGTAAAAAACAGTCTAGATTAATAGATACAGCAGATGAAGACAACCCTTGTGAAAAAGAAATACTCTTTAGCACACTTTTAAAGAGTACTCATGGAAATAATATACTTTAAAGGAATATACTTGTGTGAACAGATTAATGTTTTCAGACACTTAACTATGTTTGTTGCAATTAAATGAAAATGGATTATAGTTTAAATTTACAGTAAATCACTTTAGTGTGTTTTGTTGTTATATGTCATTGTGTATTTACTTCTATTGTCTTTGAAATATGGTTAAAGCCATGTATTTAAATGTATTTGAATTAACATGTTTGTAATGAAGTTGCAATTTATAAATATCAGCATTAAATGTAATATTAAGTAACACACTACAAATCAAATTATAATCAAATACATGTGCTTAAGTATGTTAGTCAACACTTATCAAAATAAGCGTACTTCTTTAAAGCATGACAAAAGATTATTAAAACAATGATTTAAAATTTACTTTAAAGTAAAACTTTAATTTAACATTATTACAATGTGCACTTTTTAAAAGTCTACTTGCGTGTGTTAAGAAACATAGTCATTAAAATGCCCTCTCTTAAAGTACACTTAAATGGCTATTTATTTCATTAATATTATATTATCTGCAAGTACAGTTTTAAACTGTACCCTACAAGTAAAATACCCTACAAGTGCACATTCCATACAGTTAAGTGCACTTCTTTTCACAAGGCTATTATAGCCTGTACTTGGTTGAATATTTAATTGTTTTACTCATGAAGATCTTGTTGCCAGACATGAGCCATTGCCCATCATTATTTCAGATGGCTGATGAAGACTCTTCAGACACAGATGATCTCCTCGACTATGCAGAAGAAGTGGGCCGTCATCATTCCCTAAAGAGATATGAGGGATCTCCCAGCCCAAGACACTCCAGCATGGATCGCCAGAGGAACAATGGGTATGTTTGCGTCTGTGTTCCCCAGGTAGAGTTGCCTGAATGGATTCAATTGATGTAGAACAAACTCAGACTTTCCGCATCACATCCATGCCACAAAATCTGAAGTATAATTCATGTTCATAGCTGTATGAGTTGCCTTATACATTGGTTCAAGGGGTTTGTTCAAATCACTGACCATAAGTATGAGCAATTGTAATAGTGATGCCTTATTTTTTAAGATAAATGATGCTTTCTGCAGTTCTCTCTTGGGTTCTCCTGACCTGTGGGAGGAGGTTCAGGAACGGGTTCAGAACCTTTTAACATCTCCCAAAGCAGTTCATAGACTAGCCTGTGTGAGTACCACTCAAACACACACACTCCTGTTTCACGAATAACCGCAGTGTAATGTCATGACGATCGTGGGGTGGATCATTCAGCCTCGGTTTTTGATGCCAGGGTGCCACTGACTCTGAGATAGACGAGGTATTGTCACGCAGACCTGTTTTGGCCCACTCATGCCCATTCTAAACACCAGCGTGTGCTATAAGGAAGTGGTACGTATATGCTTATATAATGGCCAGGTGTTTAAATATATTAACAGTTTTCTCATTCTGGGATATTTAATATTTTTCTGAAGCAATCCTGTGTGAAAAAGAAGCACACTTTAGCATACTTTTAAAAAGAGGACTTATTAGTATGGAAATAATATACTTTGTACTAAAGTATGAACTGAATGTCATGTTTTCAGACACTTGCAAGTTATTTGCAATTAATTAATTAGTAGTAAGTAGTAAATACCGAGCACAGAATGAACAAAAAAATTGATTGATGGTGACATTTGACTTTGACCACCCATGTCACGCTCACTTTTGACCTTTCATAATCTCTGGGAATTATTGTGGCCTTTGACCTTTTGTTTGGCGTCCCTATGTTGGCCCATGAACTTTCATGTCCTCTGGGGTCTGTTTTGACCTTTGACACCTAGAGGTAGGGTTGGGCGATGTCTACAAAAGTGGCTTCGGACGATGACATCGGCGGCGGCGGCGGGGGGTTAGGGAGGTGTGCCCGAAGTGTGAATCCTTATAAGGGAAAACAAATAACGATTCCTAACACCGTGTCTACACCGGACGCGAGCAGCGCGGCGCGACAAAATACTATAGAACCACTGATCTATAACAGAGATTCATTATATATAGATCAGTCTATAGAACTCATTATAATCAGTGATGCTGTCTACACTGGATGCGGCACGGCGCTGCGCGACATGACAAATCCCCGACAGTAAACTGCTGCCGGGTGCTATTTATGACGTGCTGACACAAATTTCAAATGATTTTCAACGGTCGCTTTGTCGCGTCCAGTGTCCAGTGGACAGACTTTAGCTGATGCGGCGCGACACGTCGCGTCCGGTGTAGACACGGTGTAACGGTTGCCTGTTACATTACAGAACATAAAATTTCACTTAAGGAGCGATGACTGAGGACAATGGCGAATGATTTGCAGATCCTCAGTACCACTGACAAACATATAATCTTGTAAAATGTGAGGTAAGTACTGCAGCTCCATAGTATAAACAGAGTATGTGCGATCGCTAATCTCGAAAGTGAAAGTGAAACTAAAACGCGATCGTGCATTCAAAAGTACGATGCCAGTTTCAATGCCAGGTATAATAGCGGCTCCCTGATCCCCGAAATATATATGTAGTATAATTACCCAATGATATAACTGTGAGGAAAAATGAAATATATATTTTCCTCCCATCTCGTATTTATTACTTTTAGGGGTTCCGCCTACATTTTCTTTCCGAACACGGTATTGGGATGCGGCGGATTGTCTATCGGCCCAACCCTACCTGGAGGTTCCATTTTTGACCTTTGACTTTACATATTTGAACTCCCCAGGGCCGCTTTTGACCTTCCATATCTGGACGTCCCATATCTGTACAGCACCTGTTTCACAATCCCCAGAGATTTTGAAAAGTGAAAGGTGAGCGTAACATGGGTGGTCAAGGTCAATCAGATTTTTGGTCATTCTGAGCTCAGTATTTACTTCTTGTATTATAGTGTACATTTATATTACATGCAACTAGCTAAACGTTTTGACCCACTTAAGTAGGACTTAAATATATCTTTATAATTTCATAATTCCTTCTATTGTCTTTGAAATATAGTTAAAGTACTGCTGAATGTACAGACATGCATAAATGATCAAATAAAATATACTTTATTGTCATTTCTGTTGAAGCTTGTATGCCTTGGATTTGAATATATTTGTAATGAAGTTGCAATTTAGTACATTTTAGCAAGTAACAGTTAAACAGTTAAAATTATAATTAAGTACTTTACATTTACTTTAGCATGTTAGTCAACACATCTAAAAAAATTTACTTCTTTAAAGCATGATAACATATTATGATTATTAAAACTACTTAAAATGTATTTAAAGTAAAATTTGACATTACTACGAAGTGCACTTTTTAAAAGCGTGTTAAGAAACACGGTACTTTCTTTAAGTGCACTTAAGTGGCCTTTTATTTCATTAATATTATATTATCTGCAAGTACAGTTTTTTTTAATATGCTTTAAGGTTTGAAGTGCCCTACAAGTGTACGTTTAATACAATTAAGCACACTTTTTTGTGCAGAGGGTTGTACAGACTCAGTGGGTATTTTAAAGACTGTTCTTCTCTTTATCCACAGATGAAGCAGAGAACCGTGTGATTTCCTGTGGCATTGCATCTTTTTCCATTCAATTATGAGTGTGTTTGTATTGCAGCTTTGAAATGAAATAATATATTCCTGGTATTTTTGAAGCTTGGTGGTTTTTATTCCTGTTTCTGGAGGTTCCCAACAGTCCACACCTAATTCAACTCATGAGCTGCTGAATATAAACACTTGAAATGTGTGTGTGCATTGAGACAGAGAGCAAAACAGACTCTTCTGACACTTAAAATGGTACATGTGCTTAATATAACCCTCATAACAAAAAAGGCTGGATCCCTTGTTGGAGTCGTGTCGCAGCAATAAAATCTTCAAAAATGACAATTCAGCAGTGCTTTGATCATATCCTTTCTTCTTCTTTTTTTGCATTTTTATGCAAATGCTGCCCATTCATTAGCAATTAAATGGAATATGCTTTAGTTGATTGTCAAGTTCGAAAGGCTTATTCTGTTTGTATCAGGGAGCCGCAGGTGTGTTCTATCTAAAGTGAAAAAATAAATTGGAAAAAGTTAATTTATGGAATTTTTCAGGTGTTGACATTTGTCTTTATTATTTTGTGGATACACATACAGTACTTGTTGAATCATACAGTATAACTAATTTGACTACTGTATAAATACAGTTGTACAATGGTGTGCTTTACAGTGTTCATTCAGTTCCAGAACCTCAAACAATGCTTCACATCGATCGTTTTCTCTCATTACTGATATAACCCAAAGTATAAAGAAATTAAATACTGTAAAAGAAAGTTAAAAGTGGCTCAATGGCAGAAATTTGGCACTGACAACATCATCGGTGTGGTCTTTTAAAAATATTCTTCAAAATAGCTCTGATTCAACAACAGAAGTACTAAAATAATAAATCAGTGGCTTGCTGGAGAAACTATTAAGGCTTGCCACTTTCATGACAAAATAATTGTGTACAAAGGATATGATTTTTGTTTTCATTCCAAAGGCCATTTCTGTACTCCACATTAAATCCTTATCATGCAACGTTTGTATAAAAATGTTCCCCTCCATATCAACACATTAAATTTGGCACAAATCTGAAACGAAAGACACGCAAAGCTCATAAACATTTGGCTTTCAATAGCAAGTGCAAATACAGAACTGGCAACATTTCACACGTTACTGAATTTGAAACTTGAACATAATTTGCAAAGAAAAAAATCGAAAGCGGGTTTTGATAACCTTAAAGTCAGCGTTTTCTGAGTATAATAACATTGGCTAGTTAACAACATGCGTACGTTACGTTACACTAATCTGCCGAGTTTCTTTCAAACCGATGCGCAATATTGCACAGAGCTCCTTCTCATACACACAAATACGAAGAAAATCTATGGCAAGCCGTTTTAGCTTAAAATAATCCCAGGGTTACTCGTCGTAATTGCATTTTTACTAGTAACAATTCAATTAGAGAGCTCTACAATTAAATTCTTACTAGTAAAAATGCCCGTTAGAGAGCTCTCTAATTCAGTTCTTACTAGTAACAATTATGATTAGAGAGCTCTCTAATTCAATTCTTAAGCTCTACAAATGAATTTTTACTAGTCATATGTTTCCACTGACTTCCATTCATTTTTAATTACAGAGCTCTACAATTGAAATTTTACTAGTAAGTATTACAATTAGAGAGCTCTACAATTTAGTTTTTACTAGTAACAATTGCAATTAGAGAGCTCTCTAATTTAATTCTTACAAGTAAAAATGTAATTACAGAGCTCTCTAATTCAATTCTTACTAGTAAGAAATCTACTTACAGAGCTCTACAATTGTATTCTTACTAGTAAAAACTTGTATTCATTAGATGCAAAACAGATTTGCGCTCTACAATTTAGTTTTTACTAGTAACAATTGCAATTAGAGAGCTCTACAATTTAATTCTTACAAGTAAAAATGTAATTACAGAGCTCTATAATTTAATTTTTACTAGTAAAAAAACAAACAAATTAAAGATATGCTTAATTTCAGAGCTCTGTAATTGAATTAGAGAGCTCTCTAATTTAGTTCTTACTAGTAACAATTGAATTATAGAGCTCTCTAATTAATTGTTACTAGTAAGAATTCAATTAGAGAGCTCTACAGTATAATAATACATTAAGAATTATTATATATTGATTAAAATCATTATAAAATTATTATGCTTTACAGAGAAGAAATATAGGCTAGGTAGTCTATGTAGCTACTGTAAGTTATTTTTAAAGGTGAATTCACACTTGCACAGAAAACATGCATATAAATGTATTCTCAGCAATATGCATATTTAATTATTGGTTGTAAAATACCTGTTTTTGTTAAGCTTTGTAAGGTCTTTATTCGCATTATTCACTCACACAATAATGCTGAGGCCTGTACTGTTAACAGAAGCATTTACTGCATGATGAAGCCTATTAGAATGCAGTTAGAATGCCACTATACCTAAGGGTCTGAAATAAAGAAATAACAATATTAATAATATTAATAATAATATAAAGGTGTGAATTAATGAAGTGATTAAATATTAAAACAAAACCTTTCCAAACTGTCATCTCACTCTTATGGTCATTCTGACACAATGAAAATGCTATCAATTCATGCTTATGGGGCTTTTATTTTGAAGTGTATCACCACAGGCGGGATTTGGAAAGGCAAATGGGTGTAGTCGCAAATCTGTTTTGCATCTAATGAATACAAGTTTTTACTAGTAAGAATACAATTGTAGAGCTCTGTAACTAGATTTATTACTAGTAAGAATTGAATTAGAGAGCTCTACAATTGCATTGTTACTAGTAAGAACTGAATTAGAGAGCTCTCTAATTTAATTGTTACTAGTAACAATGCAACTGTAGAGCTCTCTAATTCAATTCTTACTAGTAACAATGCAATTGCAGAGCTCTCTAATTAAATTAAATTAAATTAGAGAGCTCTCTTATTGTATTTATAGCTAGTTAAAATAGATTTAGAGAGCTCTCTAACTGGCATTGTTTACACAAGCAAGAGTGCCGTTTTCCGAATATTAGCGCACAATCATGATCGTGAATGTGATGTTGATTTTATACAGTTCAACAACCAAGAAATTAATACAAGTGAGTTACATTTTGGACACACTATTGTCTGTTTTTGTTTCACCAACACAAATAGTTCCAAACAAAGCCGGAAAAGAACTGTTAACAATATTAATAATATTAATAATAATATAAAGGTGTGAATTAATGAAGTGATTAAATATTAAAACAAAACCTTTCCAAACTGTCATCTCACTCTTATGGTCATTCTGACACAATGAAAATGCTATCAATTCATGCTTATGGGGCTTTTATTTTGAAGTGTATCACCACAGGCGGGATTTGGAAAGGCAAATGGGTGTAGTCGCAAATCTGTTTTGCATCTAATGAATACAAGTTTTTACTAGTAAGAATACAATTGTAGAGCTCTGTAACTAGATTTATTACTAGTAAGAATTGAATTAGAGAGCTCTACAATTGCATTGTTACTAGTAAGAACTGAATTAGAGAGCTCTCTAATTTAATTCTTACTAGTAACAATGCAATTGTAGAGCTCTCTAATTCAATTCTTACTAGTAACAATGCAATTGCAGAGCTCTCTAATTAAATTAAATTAAATTAGAGAGCTCTCTTATTGTATTTATAGCTAGTTAAAATAGATTTAGAGAGCTCTCTAACTGGCATTGTTACTAGTAAGAATTTAATTGTAGAGCTCTCTAATTGAATTGTTACTAGTAAAAATGCAATTCTGACGAGTAACGCTTGGAATATTTTAAGCTAAAACGGCTTGCCATAAAAATCGCCTACTGCTAAAAAGCTGTTCGTTAGTACAAAACCAAAGGAAACAACTGCCATTAATAAAAAGAAAACAGCTTTGCATAATTCATGGAAACATGTTAATGAGCTATGGAAGCACAGTTTTCTCACATCTGTTTTTTTCTTCTCTCAGTCTAGCGCACGCACACGTAAGTTCAAGAGCAAGGTTGGGAAAATGAAGGAAGGAGAACCGCAAGGGCAGGTATTGCTAATGTCCGCACTCAATCATGTCCTCACTAATGACTTTCCGTCCTAGTCATGGCACTGGTTTTATGAATGGCTCCTACCTCTCTGAACTCCTTTCAGCGATGTCACGTGTTCAGCAGAGACCGCCGCGCGCCACTAGAACTGCGAGGTCTCGGTGAAGGAAATAGCGTCGCTTTTGTCGATGGTGAATCCACCGTTCACGTAAGATTTCTTCTCACACTCGTCGTCGTCCAGCGTGGTCTCCAGTGCGAAGGGGTTGGCCGCGTCCACGTCTGAAATCAGGTCCATCCTCTCTAGTTCTCGCTTTGACAGCTTCTGGACTATTCCAGCGCCGTAGGCGTCTCCCAGCACGTTGATCATGGTACGGAAGCGATCGCTGATTTGATGAGAGAAATCAATGTAAACTTTCACACTATAGCAGCTATAGGGTTTTTAGCAGCCATTACTCCAGTCATCGAGTCAGGCCTCCTGTAACGAATCCATGCATTTTTGTAAGATAAATATCCATGTTTCAAACGTAATAAACACCTTTTTCTCACTTCTGCTGACTGTCATATGCGGAAGCAGTTCCGGCGGATGACGTAAGACGTCGGCGTTGCGTGATTAGTGACGAACGCCGAGACTAAACAAAACAAAACTCCAGCGCCGTAGGCGTCTCCCAGCACGTTGATCATGGTACGGAAGCGATCGCTGATTTGATGAGAGAAATCAATGTAAACTTTCACACTATAGCAGCTATAGGGTTTTTAGCAGCCATTACTCCAGTCATCGAGTCAGGCCTCCTGTAACGAATCCATGCAGTTTTGTAAGATAAATATCCATGTTTCAAACGAAATAAACACCTTTTTCTCACTTCTGCTGACTGTCATATGCGGAAGCAGTTCCGGCGGATGACGTAAGACGTCGGCGTTGCGTGATTAGTGACGAACGCGGAGACTAAACAAAACAAAACGCCGGTCACGAATTAGAAGCACAAAACGAGGATTTGTAAAGAAAAATGTCGGAGGATTTCAATATAAGCCAAGAGGAAAAAAGAGAAAAAAGTGTTTATTACGTTTGAAATATGGATATTTATCTAACAAAAATGCATGGATTCGCTACAGGAGGCCTTTATTCAATAAACTCAGAATTGTTAGATGTTATACGAGTTATAAACTCACAATTGCGACATAAATGTACAATTCAGGGAAGAGAAGTCGTAATTGTGAGATAAAAAAGTCGCAATTACTTTTTATTTTTTATTCTGTGGCGGAAACAAAAAACAAAGTTACTTGATTTAAACAAACAAAAAAAAAAAGTCAGAATTGTGAGATCTAAACTCAGAACTGTGAAATGGAAACTCAGAATTGCAAAAACATTCAGAATTCTGAGTTTATATCTCATAATTCTGACTTTTTTCTCAGAATTCTGTGTTTACATCTCAGAATTGTGTGAAAATGTCAGAATTGTGAAATAAAAAGTCACAAATACCTTTTTTTATTTATTTATTTTTTTTATTCCAGAAATGGGCTTCCATAAGTTGGCCCTTTTCTACCAAAAAGAAAAAAAATGATCAAGATTATAAACTCTACTTATACAAACTGATGAATAAAGAATGTGCCTCAGTGAGTTTTTGCATTTTTATGTTTTTATTCAATTTATGAAGGTGCTGTAAATTGAATCGTTATATATTCTATCAAATTTTGTACATGCATAGATGAAACGACTTTGATAGTTTTATTGTAAATGAAAAACGCTGCATCCATAATTTTCTCACTGACACGGCCCAAACCTGGAAACTTGGGGCTCAGTTCAGAATTCCTCGCTTACAATTAATAATAATAATAATATTAATAATTTATAATTTTTTTACATGTCAATTTACAGTAAAAAATCTTGTTGATTTTTTTTGTAGAAAAGGTACATCGCCATCTTGCTCTAACCAAATTGATTTAAATGCACCTGACGTTGTAATTATGACTTGCCAACTCGTAAATACAAACTTTCCAGGATGATTTGAATGAACCAATAGAGTGCTACAGGGATGATATATTTTTATAGGCCAAAAACCAGAAACAACAAACTTTTTACTTGCCTTGAAAAAGGTGGTTGCTAACAAGAGTCTAAATGGGAACACAGAGGTTCATTAAATCCTTAAATATCATCACAGCGAACAGGTAAACTCATCTCAGACTAGTACTCATTAGTCTGCTTTCACAACTCTTCGCTCTTGCAAACTACTCTAACTCAAACTAACAGGGAAAAGTTTTTTAAATAAAAGGCCGAAAGAGTTGTCTGAAGCTCAATGGTGGTGACGTTGAAGTCATGTGACCGTGGTGTAGTTTATAGCCATTTATATATAACCTACATTTAGCGTTTTACTTCTGGCAATTGTATTTATGCTTAAAAAGTCATAAAAGATTATCACGATGAATAAACTTTTGTTGATCACAGAGCTTATTCATTTCAGTAATAATCCAAAAGTCCAATGGAAAAATCCTACTGGGATTTTGTCGAGGCGAGGGAACCAGGGTGATGCAAACTTACGGGTTGGCCTGCAAAAATACCTCATCACTACTGTGTAAACCTGACACATTGATGATAAAAAACAGATACTTACAGCAGCCAATCGACAGCAACGATGAGGGTGACATCACTGGCAGGAAGGCCTACTGCTGTGAGGACTATCACCATGGTTACCAGTCCAGCATTTGGAACTCCTGCTGCACCAATGCTGGCGACTGTTGCCGTGATACTACGGAATGAACGTTTAAAAAAAAAAGTATCACTCGGGCCTTCGTCCTTCATGAAGTCACTTAACTCTATTATATCACACCAGCTGGCTTATATCCCACCTACCTAATGGTAACAATCTGGCCAGCGTCCAGGTCGTAGTTGTTCAGCTGAGCTATGAATATAGAAGCAACAGCTTCATACAGTGCAGTGCCGTCCATATTGATAGTCGCACCAACTGGAAGCACGAAGCGAGTGATTCTCTTGTCGATCCTGTTGTTCTCCTCTGCGCATCGGAACGTGACCGGCAGAGTGGCTGAGCTGATACAGTGAAGACACTTGTTATTGCAAAATAGCAGTTTTCTTTGATTGTTGTGGATTTAAAAAGTCTGTTCGTTCACAAAAACATCTAAAACTGGAAAGACAGATCTTCAGGAGCAGGACTGAGCAGCCTTGCTATAAACAGCTAAAAAATAATGATCAAAACACAACATTAAAGGCTGCTTCTCAGACTTTTTTTAAAATAATTTTTCATAGCATTTAAGAAATGTATGCCTTTTGCTTGTGCAGAAACTATTGGGACACTCAAGTCCCATCTAAAATGTCTGAATTTATTGCAATAAAAAAACTAACTTTTAGTGATTTGTTAACATCACTATTTCCTTAGTATTAATAAAATTAACTAATTATGTTTTATAAAATCCTAAAATGTCTGAATTTATTGCAATAAAAAAACTAACTTTTAGTGATTTGTTAACATCACCATTTCCTTAGTATTAATAAAATTAACTAATTATGTTTTATAAAATATACTAAATATGTTCTAAGGTTCAAAGGTACACTTTAGCATATAAAAGAGTACTTATTGTGACAATATTACTTTAAAAAGAAAATACTCAAGTGCAAACCGAATGGAATGTTTTTGGTCACTTAATTACATGTTAATTGCAATTAAATGAAAATGTATTATATTTTAAATTTGTATTAAATGCAATTGGTTTTTGACTCACTAAGTACATCTTTATATGTAATTTTATAATGAATTGTCTTTGAAATATGGTTAAAGTACTGCTGAATGTTCTGACAAGCATTTATGGTAAACTAAAATATACTTTATTTAATGTCATTTCTGTTGAAACCTGAATGTCAGCTATTTAAATAATATTTTTTAATTACACTTTTGTAATGTAGTTGCAATTTAGTACATTTAAAATATGTTTACTTTAAATGTAATACTAAATAACACACTACAGGTAAAATTAAACGGGTAAAACTATTCAGCTTTACATGTGCTTCAGTATGTTAGGCAACACATTAAAATGAGTGTACTTCTTTAAAGCATGTGAAAAGCTTACTAAAACAACGATTGTATGTTTAATTTAAACAAAAAAACATTAATTTGTAATTATTATAAAGCACACTTTTTAAAAAAGTACTTAGGAAACATTGTCATTAAAGTGCCTGTCAAAAAAGTGGCCTTTTATTTCATTAATTTTATATTATCTGCAAGTACAGTTGTTTAAAAATTAGTGCTGTCAAATGATTAATCGCGATTAATCGCATCCAAAATAAAAGTTTTTGTTTACATATTATATATGTACAGTATGCTTACTGTGTATATTTAATATGTATATATATAAATACACACACATACAGTATATATTTTGAAAATATTTACATGTACTTACATGTATATATTGATATTTATATAATTTATATTATTGTATTTATATATACATAATTAATGAACACGGTATACACACATATATTATGTAGGGATGTAACGATTCATTCAAGTCACGATTCGATTCTATTCACGGTTTTGATTTCACGATTGCGATTTGTTTGGCATCTCAACCGATTTGAATCGTCACATATTTGAATCGATTTTCAACCGGCTCGCAGTTAATCGTTACATCCCTAATATTATGCAAACAAGAACGTTTATTTTGGATGCGATTAATCGCGATTAATCGTTTGACAGCACTATTAAAAATATAATTTGAAGCTTTGAAGTTCACTACAAGTGCACATTACGTGTACATCTTTTTCACAAAGACTGACTCGTCAAGATATTTGCTCTTTAAGGCTCTTCCAGACTGTGAATCGGGCCAAAAGTCTAGGTTTGCCTAGATTTTTGCTCCGATTAACAGTCTGGATGAGTTGGCGCTAGTTGCTGAAAATCAGAGCCAGTCTGCAGATTTGAGTAGACAGATTTCACAGAAAATCACATAGTTTATCACGGGCACAGACTCAGATTTTTTCTTAGCTTCAGACTTGGATTCCATCCAGTCATTTTAAGTCAATTTTAGAACACATAATGTTTTCATCTGTCATGTGTCTCCTATCAAAAATACACACGTTTTGTGTGAATTTGTTGCGTTCGGAACGACCTGAATGTGTTAGTGTGTGATCCTCAGTTGGTTTAGTGTATAATTTCTAGTTTTTTAACCATTTACAAACTCAGCAACTGTATGATGTGTAGTGTTTTAAAGTCTCTTCAGATGTTAAGTTGTGTAGTGTATTCCAGCCTTTAGTCAACATACCCAGATAATACAGACGCCAGAATGTTTGTCGGCTCACCTTGAGGAAATCATGAGAGCAGTTAGTAAGGCCTGTGCCATTCCCAGAGTGAAGGTGAATGGATTCTTCCTCACAAACACAAAGTATATCAGTGGGAGGAATACCATGGAATGGATGGCTAGTCTGTGAAAGGAGAACATATTTAAAAAAACAATCCACCGTACATTATCATAAGCAATGAACAGTAGAATCTTTGTAAAATATAGCTTTAAAGGGTTAGTTCACTCAAAAATGAAAATTCTGTCATTAATTACTCACCCTCGTGTTGTTCCAAACACGTAAGACCTTCGTTCATCTTCGGAACACAATTTAAGATGTTTTTGATGAAATCTGAGGCCTCTCTGACCCTCCCATAGACGGCAAGGTAACTACCAAGTTCAAGGTCCAGAAAAGTACCAAGATGATCGACAAAGTAGTCCGTGTGACATCAGTGGTTCAACTGTAAAGTTACAAAGCTACGAGAATACTTTTTTGCGCAAAGAAAACAAAAATAA